TGATTAACAAAAAATCAAATCTTAGGCTTGGTCTATACTACAGAGTTAGGTCAACGTAAGCTGCCTTATGTTGACCTATGTCAGTGCCTACACTGCAGCCTTGCTCTCACTGATGTAAGTGCCCTACTACACTGACATTATAACTCCACCTCCACGAGAGGCATAGGGCTTATGTTGGTGTAGTTAGGCAACACTGTCGCTGTAGACGCTGCATTACTTACATCAGCTGTTGGCTACAATCCTTGTCAATTCTGCTGGAGCTGTGAAATTGACAAGAAAGGCTGTTAGGTTCCCTGCTGTGAACCCTGAGCCAGGCTTACAGCTTGGGCTGTCATCCTTGGGCAGGTGTGGGGCTCCAGCTAGAACCCGGCTGCCCCCCAGGCTCCTGGCTACTGCTGCCTGGGCTCCCACTCCGAGCCCAGCTACCGGGTACTGAGAGCCTGGGCTCCCAGCTACCCATGGGGCTCCCAGAGCTGTCAGAATGTGGCTACTCTGAGCAGAGACAATAGCAGTGTGAAATTGCCAAGAATGTCAATTTCACTGCTGGTAGGCTCTGTGCTGTGAAATTGAGCCTGCGCAAGTCTCACAGCTGGGTCTTTCACCCCGGGGCAGATGGGGGGGCTCCAGCTGTGAGCCCCATGTGGCTATCAGTGCCCCACACTCAGCTGTCAGTGCCCCACAAAGCGCCACTTCAGTCAATGTAAGTGCTCCTGGTGAGGACATGATCCACTGGCAGGAGGAGGGTAGTGTGGACACCAACAGCCATTTGAATTACTGCAGTGACTGTAGGATGACCTAAATTAAGTCGACCGAATTTTGTAGTGTAGACAAGCCCTTAGATTGTGTCCTTTCTATCCTCCTCTGTTGTGCTGCTATTAAGCTGAGTTTGTTTAGCATTGTTAAATAATCAACAACACTGACTTACAAAATATCAAGTGAACACTAGCAGTTACTATCTGAAATAAAGGTATTGGAAATAGTGGTGGTCATCACCATAGTCTTGAAGTAAGTGGACAAAGATTTGGATTTAATTCGGGTTTAACTCCTCTGAAATAAACTGACTTCATCAGGGCTTTTAAATGCTAGAGAAAAAAAATTCCTGCACTGTAGTCTTGTATACTAGGATTTTTCAGATCAAGGCTGTTTCACTGAAACTCAGTTTTAAAGGTATTATAAATGAAGTACAGCTCTTTTCCCACATCCTTTCATGTTACGTCAAAGGCACACAATCTGTTTAAAGCCAAAAATTACCATAATGCTGATAAAACCCATGCTTCCCCCTGTGTAAAGAGGTATGGTTGGGTTTTATGATCTAATGGATAGTGCACTTTGAAACAGGTGATTTTGGTTCTGTTCCTAGTTCTGCCACTGATTTGCTGTGTGGCCTTGGCAAGACACTTAATATCTGTCCCGCAGTTTCCTCTCTGCAAAACGAGGATAATACTTGTCATTTTTTGTAAAGCACTTGGAGATCCTCAAACAGAAAGAGCTGGGAGACAACAGATATTTCTGGAGACATTAAAACTCCATCTGCATCTCCTAGAGTAGTGGAAACCCAAATATCTTTTCATATGATAAAAGTTGCACGCTAACCTTTTGTTTAAAAAAACTAAGACCACATTTCATCTCTTTTCCTAGAGAGCTAGACTGCTACATTGGGGGTGACAAAGCATAAGTGCTCTCTGTCACATAAGACTGTACACTATAAAGGCCAACTCTGTGGACCAAAAGGTGATCTGTGCATTCTTAATGTTTATTACACCTCACAACTGGAGGACAAAGCTCCTAACCTTAATGCTTCTATGGATTTAAAACATGGCAGGCTGCCAGAGAGCCAGCACTGACTCTGTTCAATTGATTCAAGGTCAGACTTCATAGGATAAAGGGATGGCCTTTATTGAGGGATGGCCTTATTCGTGGCTCACCTCCAATGACAGCCACCACCCTCTTGAATGAGAGAAAAGTCAACGTCAGGCAACAGACAGATGCATATACACGATAGAACTTATTGAGTGGTGGGGCTATGAATTTAACTCCAGAATTTAAATGATCATATCACATGACCTTCAGAATGAAATGTAAAACGAATAGTTGCTGACTTTAGGATGGATGGAGAGAAATGCATGCTCCTGTCCTTAGACAGTGGAAGGTACTAAAAATGTTGTGGCAAAGTTCAGTAAAAATACCTTGCTATAACAGAAGGAGATAAACTGCCCTAAGACTTGCATATACAAAAATAACTTCAATAGACTCAATAAAGAATATTCTCTGTCTGGGGAGACAGTGTGACTGCCTGTTTTCACTGGACTTAACTCATGGTCCAGCTTTTCTGAGAGAAGGCTATAAAACAAAGACCCTCTTATTTCCAGAGTACATTGTAACTGAGCATCATGGGACAAAAATCAAGCAATAACTTATTCTAATCATATTTAGCAGTTCTGTAATGATTTTCGTCTGTAGAACTCAGTCCTTTACAAAGGAGGCCAGTATCATTACCTTCATTTTATAGAGGTGGAAGTTGAGGCACAGCATGGAGGTCACCTAGCAAACCAGTGGCAGAGCTGGGAATTGAACCCAGATCTGTGCCTTCTAATATAATGGTCCTGATTCTGTACTTTCAGACCTATGCTCAGATGGGCAGCTGCAGGAAGTCTCTTGAAGCTCCCTACTTCAGAGCCGCCTAGTTCCAACTGCGCAGGGGCAGCCCTAACTTGCACTAGAGTCCATCGGCGACCTTACACCAATAGAGGATCAGATATAGCAGAATTCTGCTTTGCCTCGCCTCTCCCTGTCATATCTGTGCTCTGCCCCTGGAATGCCCCCTCCTTTCCCTTATGCCATGGTTGAGGGGAGCAGCAAAGTTAAACTCTGCCAGATCTATACCAATGGAGAGTTTTGCAGAGGGCAACTCTCCACTGGCCATCCCTGTCTGTTTTAAGGCTAATTTGTGGCCTGGAAGTGGGGGAGGGAGGTTGGAGAGTAGCAAGATCTGCTGATAGAACATCTTTTACTGGTTTGATCAGCCCTTAGTTATTGCTGTTTACTCATGCTGGAAACCAGCCAGTTGAACTATTGGCATAAACTGGCCTGGGGGAAACTACCCAGTTGAAGCAACTACCTTTCCTTTAATTAAAAGACCATCAATTTCAGCTTGTTGGTATGCTTTTTTTAAACACTTTGAGGATTAATGAATCCTACGCTTTTGTTCCCTGTTGGGAGCATGTATTATCTTTAGTTACATTATAAATACATGTAATGTGTCTATGTGGTTGCATATTTCAATGTATATAATCTTTAAAATAGCATGACAATAAAAAAAAACCTTGACAGATGAATATGGCATACATGTGCCTAGATGTTGGAGGACAGAAGCTTTGCTTTAATCCAGACTGTAGGGTATTTTACCCTTCTTTTGTGTTCCCAACCACAGTATTTATTTCAATATAGTTAATGATAAAATTGCATTAATGTTGAATAAAGTTGTTAGAAATTTAACAAGGGTTTCTTGAAGAAATATTTAAACAGTAAAAATAATTTTTATCTCACTAGGATGTTGAGATTTCATTTTATGCTGCCGGTATATCTTGGAAGTATTCCACGTCTTGTGTGTCACTGCATCTGAAAGCATGTTCATAATGAACAAACTGCAGACTCACTGCTTAATTAACCTGCTCTCACAGATGAATTATGAGATGAATTATTCTCTTTACACAAACTGTTCCAGTACCAAAATATGTAGTAAAGCTTTTGTTTTACAATTGTAGGGAGGAACTGGACATTGATTTGAAGGATATTTACTACAAAATTCGATGCGTGTTGATGCCTATGCCATCTCTTGGGTTTAATAGACAGGTAGTGAGAGATAACCCTGATTTTTGGGGCCCTCTGGCAGTTGTCCTCTTCTTCTCAATGGTTTCATTATATGGACAGTTTAAGGTAGGTATAAACCTTTTATCTAAAGAGAACTTTAAATATTGCGACTTGAATGCTAAACAGTTTATCATATTTACAGAGAGGTAGAAAGCCTCTTCTCCCCTTGCCATGAGTATAGTGAGAAGAATGGAACATCTAGTTCCAAATATATTTCTTTCATGGGTGTCTTTCTGCATATTAAAAAACTTGTAATACTATACTAAATGTTCCTTGAACTACATCTCTAAGGTTAATTAGAATAAAAATGTCAAGTTTTGTCTCTGAAATGGAAATGAAGGAAGGGTGGGATTTCTGGAGGCTTGTAATGGTATGCAATCTGTCAGATGCTCAGCGGTATACTAACCGGAATGACTAAAACATAAAACCTACATAATAGGTATATTTCATTACAATGCTAAACAAAAGACGGCACCTTTACAATGCTGGTTCATCTATGTTAAATAAAATGTAAATTGTGACTGAAATTGAGGGACCCGTAGGAATCAGTGATGAAAGTGAATGTCACTTAAATTTCTGTAGTTGGGGCATGATCATAGAGTAGAAAGTCTGCACCATGTTTTTCTGTATGAACACATTCCCTCCTCTGAAACCTTCACCCATCTTTAATTTAGTTCTCAAATACAATTTACATTGATTGTACTATTAACTTCGTAATGTTTCAGTTCCCCCTACCACTGTCCTCTTTTTGCATTGCACAGTGAAAAGGATAGTTGGCTTTCCTACATGCTTCACAAAAAAGTTTGGGGACAGGAAACCATTAGAAGATTCCCCCCACCCAGCCACATACTCTTGCAAACATCTTTAGTAAGGATATCTCTTCTAGAGAGGGGAAAATTAGCTCTGTGTCCGGACATATTAGTAATAAGTTGTTAACTAAGAATTCTAATTCAAAAGTGGCTTATTCAGTTGGCAGTTAGATACTTGCTGGTTAAACCTTCTGCGTTATAGTCATACTAGTAAGTTTTTTTTTTTTCAGATAATTTTAAACTTATTTACTGGTTTTAGTACCAGAAAACCTTTGTATAAAGATCTTGAATTTATTGTGGTTACAAATAATGTCATAACTGTCTGGTACTTTTTTGTCCTCTCAGATACCTTTTCCTTCTCTTGCTCCCACCCCCATAATTAAATAACTTCTGTCTTCTTAATACCTCTGTCTCTTGTCACTTGACTTCTCCTATGATTCCTTCAGAACTCAGGGAATGCAGCTTTTGATTGGCCAGCAAGAATTATAGTATAGAAATGCTTGGCCTTTCTTCTGCTTTTCCAGTATTGCCCAAGCATAACATCCCTCGTAGTGCTTCTAATCACTGCCATCTTTAAAAAGTGACAGAACTTAGATATGAACCTAGGTCTTCTCTTGGTAGCACCTAAGTGAGCCCCCCTGCAAGCTCCACTTATAATAATGAGTAAACACCTTTAACCCTATCTTTAAATATAGCAATAAGTAAGGCGGTGTTTTAGTCACGGGTATTTTAGTAAAAGTCATGGACCAGTCACAGGCAGCAAACAAAAATTCACAGCCCATGACTTGTACTATATACCCCTAACTAAAACTTGGGTGCTCGGGGGCAGCCCAGGGGCCTGCTCGGGGGTGGGGGGTTTGGCATGACTGGCAGGCTCCCTACCTGGCTCTGCGTGGCTCCCCAGAAGTGGCGACATGTCCCTCGGCTCCTAGGCAGAGGTGCGGCCAGGAGGGCTCCACGCGCTGCCCCCACACTGAGCGCCCACTCCACAGCTCCCATTGGCTGCGGTTCCTGGCCAATGGGAGTGTTGGGGGTGGTGCCTGCAGGTGGAGGCAGCATGCAGAGCTGCCTGGCCACACCTCCGCCTAGGAGCTGAGAGAGAGAGAGACATGTTGCCATTTCTGGGGAGCCCCCCTAGGGAAGCGCCGCCCAGAGCCATCACCCCCTTCCGCACTCCAGCTCCCTGCCTCAGCTCGGAGCCCCCCCTCCCACATCCCCAGCAGCGTCCGGTGCGGCTGGGCCCAGGGGCTGCCAGAGCTGCTCAGGCGGCCTCCGGGCCAGCCACACCAGCCACTGCAGAAGACATGGAGGTCACAGAAAGTCATGGAATCCGTGACTGAATTGTAGCCTGAGCAATAAGCCATACCAGGATGTGTGGTATTACAGTATGCTATTAGTCGAGGTAATTAATTTTGAGATATGAGCCTGAAAGGGAGTTCCTTCAACCTCCATAAGGTGTGCACTAAAAGCTGACGAACGCTCACTCTTGAATGGCTTATTTCTATGACTAATTTTACATATGACACACTAATGTGATTTGTTCTTTTGGATGGGAGAAAGGTGCGGGAAAAGAAAGACAGGTATGCACTGTTTCTTTCCACAGTGAAACATAATGGTTTTATGATGTGTTCTTTTTTAAATTATTACAGAATTTTAGCTGAAGAGACAAAATCTATAGTGACACCGGCTTCATGCTCTTTTCACCTTCCCTTTTTGATTTTTACAGTGCATATGAAACCTTAAATCAGTACCCAGTTTAGGTTTGTAGCCTAAACTTGAGTTTTAAATGCAACCATACTTTGAAGCTCAGAGGCTGTCCTGGGAGTGCGGGTTCCCACTGTAGAAGTGCTATTTTCAAAGGGAAAGCAATATTTCCCTTATTCTGCTTAGCAGCTGCACTCCAGATCAGCTGGGCTGCGATTTAATTTAAGTGTAGGCTAGGGACCTGAATTGCGTGATAATTTAATCCAGTTTCATATTCATATTAAGAACTGAGGAGAGGAGGAAACCTGGGAGGAAGACTACAGCCTAAACTAGAAGTACTGTCAAGGTGTAGAAAGAGTTAGGAGTCATAACTTAGATCTGTATTCTTTTGATTTTGTATTTTAAGGGTGACACAGTATTCTGCCATCCCTAGAGACGATCTTCATCAACGAAGAAAGGAGATACAAGCTGAACATTGATTTTTCTTTGTGTTTTGTTGGTTTAAGCCAACCGCTCAATGTTGTTTGGGCATGCTTTTCATTGGGTGTGAAGAGATATTGATTTCCTTTTGTGTTTCAGAGTAGAATGAAAACAAACATGTTACCATCTTATAAAATCTGAGACTCGGTTGAACCCTCTCTTCAGTGGATTCACTAAGATTTAGCCAGAGTTCTTTTAATTCCAAAATTTTTACTGACACCTTCCTGTTCTGATGATAAAACCACACTACGGGTAAAATACTGGTTTTACCATATTTTCTTGTTTGAGCATTCCAAACACACTAGCAAACTTGTCAGAAAAGATATTGTATAAATAATAAAACGTCTGAATTTTATTTCTAAATTCCATTGTAATACTGAATAATACAAGGTTTGCTGCAGTTGACTTTCTTATGAAACCAAAATGAATTCTGAATTATAATAAAAATAATTGATTGATAAGAATTAATTGTTCTCTCTCTTTTAAGGTGGTTTCTTGGATTATAACTATATGGATATTTGGATCCTTGACAATTTTTTTATTGGCCAGGGTTCTTGGAGGAGAAGTAAGTAGCATGTGAAAGTGTGATTGATACATAAAATATTCAGAAGTGACTTGGCTTTTTGGATGCCCAACTTGCGGCACTTTAAAGTCACCTAGCTACTTTCTCAAAAATCTTGACCTCCCATATTTAGACATGAATTATAGCACAGTGTGGCACACAGTGGTCTCTGTTGAAATTGAGATTCAAGGTAAATTCTTAGAGTTAGTCAGATCTAGTCAGATAGCTGCTAGCTAGTGAACAGATTTTGATTAAAAATAAGAACCAATCCAACTCATTTGTTCATGTAAGTCTGGATTTAAAAAACAAAACCAGACCCTTGGTCAATTTCATGTGCATTTATTTAAACTGCTGGCATTTACTTACAACCTGGCCAGAACCAGAAATACTACTAGACTTCTAGAGCATCCTTACTACAATTTTCACTGCTAACATGAACTTCTATCATTAATTTAGGCATCCCAGTGGAAGAGTTACTTTGTGCGGTGGTTAATTGCAGATATTCAGAATTAATGACCATTGTCGAGTTGATTGTTAATTTGAAATCTGAACGTGTATTTCATACATACCATACTAATTTCTAAATGCTGCAGTAATTATGTAATAATTATTTGAAATGCATTACTCTGTCATTACCAGTAAAGAACCTTGCATTAAAAAGACTGGAAGTAACCAATTGTTATAATTTGCATAAATATATTACCCTGTGAATTTACATTTAATGACAGTAATATCAAAAAACAAAACAAAAATTTGTTAACAACTTTAATTCTGAGCCACAAGACAGATGCATGTACTCAACACTACACTTACTGGAATAGCTACTTATTCCATCATGACAAAATGTAAGTGTTTTCTCTATTGACAAAACTTATGAGCTAGATTGAAGACTTTTTTTTTTTTTAATTCTTTACGAATTGATTTATAATTTTCAGGTTGCATATGGGCAAGTTCTTGGTGTGATAGGATATTCTCTACTTCCACTCATTGTAATAGCACCTGTCCTCTTGGTGGTTGGATCATTTGAAGTTGTATCTACACTAATAAAAGTGAGTTCAGTAATGTTTATTGTTTGTCACTATGCTTCAAAATATTATGTTGCCCTGAACAAAGTAATAATTTTAGTAACTTGTAATAGAATTTTAAAAGTACTGCTTGAATTCTTGTGACCCTCTTGTCCAGAAACATAGGTCAGGAAGTCACTCTGTCTTCCCCATAATTCAATATATGATATGTTTAGTTATTGCAATGTGAATGGTAACATCAGTCATGTTCAGAGACATGGTAGTAGAAGTAGTAATCTCAAAACACTTCTACAAAGAAGGTAAGTATTGTTATCCCCATTACACAAATGGAAAACTGAGGCAGAGAGAGCCAAAACTGACCAGCCCAAAGTCAACTACCAGTAGAGCTGGGCAAAATTTTTCAAACAGAACTTTTTTTAGCAACAAAATGCAGATTTGGTAACACTGAAATGTTTCGCAAATTGGTGTTGGTTTTGCCAAATTTGTGTCCAAAAAATTTCAGGAAAAGTAGAAATGTTTCATTTTGACACTTCTAAAATGAAACTAGGGTGTCAATTAATCACCGTTAACTGAAGCTGTTAATGCAAAATACATTAACTAGGTTAAAAAAAGGCACAATGAATCGCAGTTTTAATCACATTGTTAAACAATAATACAATACCAATTTGAAATTTATTATAAATATTTTGGATGTTTTTCTATCATTTCAAATATATTTATTTCTATTACAACAGAATACAAAGTATACCATGCTCACTTTATATTATTATTTTTATTACAAATATATTTGCACTGTAAAGAGAGAAACAAAACAAATAGTATTTTTCAGTTCACCTCATACAAGTACCGTAGTGCAACTTACAAATGTAAATATTTTTTTTACATAACTGCATTCAAAAACAAAATAATGTAAAATTTTAGAGCCTACAAGTCTACTCAGTCAGTCCTACTTCTTGTTCAGCCAATCGCTCAGATAAACATTGTTTACATTTGCAGGAGATAATGCTGCCTGATTCTTATTTACAATGTCACCTGTAAGAGAGAACAGGTGTTTGCATGGCACTGTTGTAGCCAGTTTTGGTATTTATGTGCCAGATGCACTAAACATGTGTATGCCCCTTCATGCTTTGACCACCATTCCAGAGAACATGTTTCCATGCTGAATTTAAATTGATATTCTATTATTGTTTAACTGTGTGATTAAAACTGTGATTAATCGCGACTATTTTTAAATCTCGCGATTAATTGTGATTTTAAAAAATCATTTGACAGCCCTAAATGAAACATTTTGATTTTTCAATTTAAAATGGCTTTTCAAACTTAAAAAAACAAAAACTAAACACTCAAAATTGAAACAAAACATTTTTTCAACTTCTCAGTTTGCTGAAAGGTTCTAAAAGGTGTTGGGTTTTTTTGTTTTGTTTTTTGGTTCGCACCAAAACAATTTTTCTTTTTTGAATTGCCAGTGAACCAAAAAAATCTTTTATTTGCCCAGCTTTACCTACCAGGCCTGTGGCAGTAGAGAACTTTAATGAACTGTACTAGTATGGCAAAAGTTTCCTGAGGGTATGTCTACTCAGCAATTAAAAATGCGTGTCTGACCCATGCCAGTTGACTCAGGCATGTGGGGCTTTTAGGGTACAGGGCTGTTCAATTGCAGTGTAGATGTTTGGGCTTTAGCTGGAGCCTGGGCTCTAGGACCCAGTGAGGTGGGATGGTCCCAGAGCTCAGTCAGCAGCCCAAGCCCAAACGTCTACACTGCAATTAAACAGCCCCCCTTAGCCCAAGTCTGCTGGCACGGGCCAGCCATGGGTGTCTGATTGCACTGTAGACATACCCTGAGAGGTCTCAGAGCTGTGTGTGATTCTTTAAAGGCTATACTACCTGAGCACAACTGCATGAATCTTTACTTACAACTATTGCCAGATTTCAGGGAGGTGGCGGGTTGTCAATCAAAAGGTAACCTTGCTAGCTTTGTCCTGTATTCCTTTTGTATTGATCAGTTTTGTTAGTTTATCTTTACTGTTGGCTACCAGTAACCACTCTAATTTCCTCAAACTTGAATTACACTTTAGTTACCCTGCAGTTGCACCATGGTTGTGGTTTTGCTACCTGTAATTATCACTAATTTGTATACTCAGAAAGTTAATCATTTTTGAATTACTTGCCTGTCCATTAATTAATACATAATTCTAAAAATAGGGTTACATTAGTTAAATTTTAGTTACATGGTCATTATTTTATTGTCTTATGGTAACTTTAAGCAGATATGTGCACAATTCACTTGAGTTTCCAATGCAAAAAATGCAGGGCCAAAGCCCTGTATCTAAAACATTTTAGCCCTGTGAAGCACCTATAGGTTGGCTTGAGGGTCTGTACTAGTGAGAATCTTACAACCTGAGGGCGCTCAGGAACATTCCAGCCAGTTCTTTTCCAATTACAGTTGGCAAAGGAGCTCCCTAACAATTCCAAATGATGTAGCTCAAGCCTTTACTATCGCAGCCTTTGCTAAAGGCTGTGAATATCTTACTGAATTCCAGTCACTAACCTCTTCTCCTTCCTGACACTGCCTCCACAGAGCCCCAGTTTAGGAGTCACATGCGTGAGCATATAATCAAAGGACTTTTTGAGGCTATGTGCATATTCCACTACTTACGTGAACAGATCCTTGGGAATATTGCTTGCAACAGGCTAAGGTCCTTTGACAGTCCTTCCAATTCATAGATTTCATTTTACACCAGTGTGCTAAACCTTCTTGCTTGAGGACAATGGGTAGGGCCCTGCAAATCTATGGATATCCGCTTTATATCCGCAGATCATTTTTGAGGATTGGATGCAGACACAATTTTTGTATCCGTGCAGGGTTCTAACAATGGGTGTTTGATTATATTTTACACTATGACCCAGTTAGCTTGAGACTAGAGATTTGTATCAAGGCTCACTTGGTCTGAGGCAAGGCAGCCAATACTGCTTGCCTCAAGATGTGTCAGTGACAAGCACATGCACACTAACTAGTTATGCAACACTCTGCATATTCACTAAGCACTGCTGCTTGTGTTCAGTCTTTTTAAAGCATTCCTGCCTTGACTTTACAAATACGATTGTGCATCTAAAGCAGAGGAATCCAAACTTGCCTGTACTTGGAGGTTTTGTTTTTTCCAGTGGGCAATGTGTTAGAACAGTTTTGTTATTTGGGGAGACATTTTACAGCCTGTACAGTGTTTGGGCCAAATGTGTTCTAGGAGCAGTAGCGTAGCTAGGGGAGGAGCGGGGGAGCAGCCGCTCCCCCACTGAGCATAAGTGGCACCATGTCAATTTCTTGGTGCCTTTTTACTCACCCAGGGGAGTGATTTAAAAAAAAAAAGGTGCCACCCGCTGTGGCGCTCCGGGTCTTCAGCGGCGGGACCTTCACTCGCTCCAGGTCTTCGGTGGCATTTTGGCGGCAGGACCTTCAGTGCTGCCGAAGACACCTGGAGCAAGTGAAGGTCCCGCCGCTGAAGACCTGGAGCGCTGCCGGGTGAGTAAAAGCGCCGCAGCGGGTGGCGCCTTTTTTTTTTTTTTTTTTTTATTGCTCCCCGTTCCCTCCACCTGGCTACGCCACTGTCTAGGAGTTCTTAAATCCCATTTCTAAGATAACCAATATGAGTTTCTTGTAGTAGTTATTGCCTCGTTTTTTCACTGGTACACCGTGGAGCTTTGTAGTCTCCAAAAGTGAGACTTCTGCCATAGATGACGTCTTTAGGGAAGGGAAAACTACTTTATGTGCAGGGAAGAATTCACAGATATAGGGTAAGATGTCCAAAGTTGCTTATGTACAAGGTCACTTAAGTCCTTTAGAAAACTTAACCCATAATCTTTCAGGATTCTCTCTCACTCATCTACCCTGCTCCACTTCAGAGTGAGAGGATTCTGGATATGATGTTTTCTTGATTCAGGCTGGGATTTTCAAAGAGGCCATAGTATAGGCACTGAACTTCCATTAACTTCCTTCAGCCCCTTTGAAAATCCCAGTCTCATGCTCTAGGCCATGGGTAGGTAAACGACGGCCCGCGGGCCAGATCCAGCCTGCCAGCCATTTTAATCCAGCCCTCGAGCTCCCGCTGGGGAGTGGGGTCTGGGGCTTGCCCTGCTCCGGTGCTCCAGCCGAGGAGCAGGGTTGGAGGCTGCTCCACGCGGCTCCCGGAAGCAGCAGCATGGTCCCGCTCTGGCTCCTACGCATAGGGGCAGCCAAGGGGCTCCTCTCTGCACACTGCCCCTGACCCAAGCACCGCCCCCACAGCTCGCATTAGCGGGAACTGCAGCCAATGGGAGCTGCAGGGGCAGTGCCTGCAGACGGAGCAGCGCGCAGAGCCACCTGGATGCGGCTCTGTGTAGGAGCCGGAGGGGGGATGTGGCCGCTGCTTCCGGGAGCCGCTTGAGGTAAGCACCACCTGGAACGTGCACCCCTGAGCCTCTCCCTGTGCCCCAACCCCCTGCCCCAGCCCAGATTCCCCTCCCACCCCCTTGATCCCAGCCCAGAGCACCCTCCTGCATCCCAGTCCCTCATCCCCAGCCCTCCCCTCCGCCCAGAGCTCGCACCCCCAGCCGGAGTCTGCACCCTGTTCCGCACCCCACTCCTCTGCTCCACACCAGAGCCCATACCCCCAACCAGAGCCCTTACCCCCTCCCGCACCCCAACTCCAATTTTGTGAGCATTCATGGCCCACCATAAAATTTCTATTCCAAGATGTGGCCCTCGGGCCAAAAAGTTTACCCACCCCTGCTGTAGGCAATCATGTATATATTGCTGTTACCTCTGGGATGTTAATATCAACAGAATTTTTTACAAAAATATTCTTTTTATGTCTATGGCTAAGGGAAGCTCTTGCTTCTTCCTGTTATTGAAAGAAATTGGTTAGTATGTTCCAGAGCCCTTGAGGTAGGAGAATGCTCAGTAAAGTGACTAAGGTCACCAGCCAACAGGTGCTTGAGGAGGCCACATTTTTTTTAGTTTTTCCCATGATTTGCATTGGAGGTACAAGACCCAAGAGTAAGAATCTTGCAAGATGACATTCAGAGAAGCAGAATTACAGGTAATAATCATGAAAAAAGTTCAAGTTGAAGAGGACTAAAACAGAATGAAGAGTTGTTAAATAGTGCTCCCCTGGAATAAAGATCTATACTATCTGAATATGTACGCTTACTGTTTGCTTTATTGTAACTATAGACTCTTAAATTCAAATGAGTGCACATGCAGATGCTTGACGCCACATGATGACCTTCATTGTAAAGTGCTTTGAGATCTGTTGAGGAAAACCAGTACATAAGAGCTGGAGATTATTAGTACGAATACATGTAGGTAAAATCTCTCAAATATCCATGAATGAAAATACTTAGAGACCAACATGGTGCATCTCTCTCTGAACACAAAGAAAATAACATACTGTGTGTGTTCTCAATATAACACTCAGGAAAAAATGTAAGGTTTCTTTCCTAATTACCTTCAAAAAAAAGTACCGATTTTTGTATTGGTATCTGGACAGATTTTCTTGTACTGTCAGCTAACACTATACCTTTTTTCTTTTTAAGCTGTTCGGAGTCTTTTGGGCTGCATACAGTGCTGCTTCATTATTAGTCGGAGAAGAATTTAAGACTAAGAAGCCCCTTCTGATTTATCCAATCTTTTTATTATACATCTACTTCTTGTCCTTATACACTGGGGTGTGACCTGAAGTCTTGGATGTGGCCAGAAACAATATTTTATTCACATGCAGACTGGTAAAACATAAGATTAAGGAGGCTGGAGAAAATAGGAGTGACTGTTTTGTATCCAGTTGTTGAAAAGTTTTAAGACCTAAACACATATTTGTGTATATTATTTAATTAAGCAATTATAGCTATGTGGATTTGTATCAGAGTTCTAGGTTTAAGATTCTTTAGATTTTCATGAAATAATATAAGAACTTTGTGCTTTATAAGATTGTGTAGCAAAAATACAGCTTGATACCTGTGCCATAAGCACCAGGACCAGATTACTATATTACATTGAACGGGAATATGAAAAAATATTGGTAATGGTCTCAAAGTGCAATTTTTCTTTTCAGTTAAACACAGCTGGCTTTTTTGGCACAGCAAATTCTGTATATATTCATGAAACAATCCTGATGGTTCACAGAATAGGCTCTATAATTGAGACATGAAGATATTAGTATTTTTTATGTTAGAGCCCCAGATTTATTTGATTTGGCTTTTGAGATTTTATAAATTCTAATTTACTTTGGGGGAAAAAAGTGTACATGTGTATTTTGTATCTATTGCTTGTGTGTAGCAGATATACTCCTTGTTTAAGGATGTACATTGGGTTTTCAACACTTGAAGACCCAAGCATTTGAATTCAAATTTGCATTTATATCTCTGCCCAACGGAGCAAGACATATACTGTGTGACATTAATTCATTAAATGGCTTATTTGTGGAATCAAATTATTTCATATTTAACAAGATCTGAATTTGAAGTCACACAAAACAACTTTCAACTGCAGCATTGGAGTAAGGTGTGGGAGAAGGAAGATAATGTATCAAATTTGTGACCTTGAGCAATGTTTTAAAATGACAAAATAAACAGAATGCTTCCCTAACCTTGTATCTGTTTCGTAACACCTTGTTCTATATTGCTTTTAATGGTATGTAATTTAACCAATCAGGAGTGTTTTTTCTAATATACTGTTCATCTTTTGTAAAATGAAATATTAAGATTCTTAAAAGCCTGATTCTGCCTCCATTGAGTAAGTAAGGCAGAATTAGGGACTTAGCAACAAATTTTCACACTAATTTTGACTATCAAATTAGGTAATATTGTGATAACATTAAATACTTCCTGTGTATACCATATAAATTGTTTATGTAATGGTTTATGTTGATAATATTAATGGAAATTATGGAAAGAAAAATTATTGAAGGTAACTTAGCATGATATTTACTTTATTGAAGTAAAGTTGTTTGCTACCTTTAGTAGGTAATATTTGGAAATAGGTTTTGACTGACTTGCAATTTTTTTTTTTTGCGAACTTTTGTCTCTTAAAAATAATAGTAATAGTACAACCAGAGATCCTTACTGCAAATAATAAAAACTTATCAACCATTACAAGGTGATATGAGGAACTGCCTATTCTCTGTAGTAGTCAAACTACTGTGATTTAGCTTAATTCTGCAATATTTTTAATAAAATTATCCATATAACTTGAAACCTTAATTATTAATTTTATATAATTTATAATAATACTCATTATTAATTAAAATTTAAAGTTAAATTCTCAGCCTCCAAAAGAAACTTTGGTTTCTGTAACTTGCTTCTCTGCATGGGTACCTGGTAGTTTTAAATTAAACTACTTAAAGTTGGTGCTGGACAAATGTTGTGATAGCAAATCCCAGCTATGCTAAGTCTCACAATACTGTAAACATAGAAAAACTTTAGTTTAAAAGTTGATCATGATACCAATCTTTGACTTCAGCGGAAGTTTTGGTTGAATAAGAACTGCAAGATTTTGTACTAAACAAATAGTATGGTTTCTAAAAATAGATTATATATCTACAGCTTAGTGAACCTTAACCTATACTAGTGTATTTTACCAATTACCTTGTTGCATAATAATCTATAGTAAATGAAATTCATATCCCAAAGTGTTTTGAAAGTATTTGTACTGTTTTAAAATAATATACGCATTAGCAGTGCAGCTCTATCAGATATGATTCTGGAAGAAGTCAGAATAATGTGCTTCCTATCTTTATAATTTATCATTATATTATAGTGTTTCATGAGAAGATCCAATTAGCATTTTAAACTTTAAAGAAACCAAGTCAGTGTGAATGAATGTAGTTAACTGCATCATAAACACTAGGCGTTAACCCACTTAAAGACTGGTAGGTATTTAATGAGTTTTTACCATTTCTTGTCTGTCCTTTCCAAGTTGTGTTATAGACAACTTTATAACATGTTTATGGATCTGAGATGACAATATAAACTTGGGTACTGATTGAGACAGTTTAAAATCACTCTTTTCTACACACCCAGCTTCCTTTTCATATGGGACTATGATCACATTTCTTTAAAAATCATAGTTTCTTTTATGCTAATATTCTCTTAAAACTATAGTTTTTGCTGTTTTAACAGTTCCCTCCTGCAAACTAGAGGTGTGTGTGTGTGTGTGTGTGTGTGTGTAATACACAGTGTATATATGCATATAACATAGCAAGTCTTTTATAGACAACTGCAGAATTGCACCTTTTAAAGTCAATATATTTAGTTTCATCTTTTGCATATGCTATTCAAAGAAACATACTTAAACAGTTCTCAAATGGTTCCAATAGTTTGTTATAACTTTGCATTCAATTAACTCATATTTTTAGACCAGGTATATATGTAAATACAGCATAAGATGTATTTTATAAAGATTTTGAATTAAATTTGTTTACCAAATGTATAAAGCGTATTTATATTCACTGAATCAAAACACATACATCCACATTCCTATATATGTAATCAATTTCATGTTCTAAAATTGTAAATAAATTTTTAGGATTATGAAGTATACAAACTTCTGTTTCGTACTTGAAAATGTAATGCAGATTTCCTATCATTAGTGCAACTTCTAAGCTGAAGCAATTACTTTCCAGCTAAGCTTATTTGCAATGGCATGGATGCAACAGTATGGGACTTGCATGTGCAAAGTGAAAATTGTGTTCTGACAAACTTGTGTGCATAGTGAACAGGCATGTACAAAGAAGTATTTTCCTTTTTTCCCCTCATTTGCAAAACTGGTACCATTTGATGAAAAAGGCAGTACAGTTGTTGGAATTGCTCTGTGTTGCCATATAATTGCTTTTACTAGGCGAAGATGACACAGTTTGACTTTTGCATGGAAGAAACCACCACCTTTTCTCTAAGTTCTATTTTAAAATTGCACACCTAAATTTTTCATACTCCACTGAAATAACGAGAGGTTGCCTAAAAGTTACTATCATTTGGCCCTTAAAGCACACTTTTCTGGCTTCTCTTTTCACTGTCCTGCATCCAGTCTTCATACTACATATACTTTCTCTGCCTGCTCCCTCCATTTGTGTACACAGTCTCTGTTCAAAGATAAACCCTGATGTTGGTTCAGCTACAGGGGCAGATACTACCTATCTCATTGGCTTCTACCATAAAACAAATCCTTTTGTATTAATGGAACCCTGTAGCTTTTGTCTGCAATAACTGATCATCTCAAGTGCATTCTTATAAAGCGACAGCAGTATATTTTTAAATGTCGAATGTCCATCTTCAACTATAGATGACCCAAAAGTGCGTGTTTGTATTGTGTATCTATGCAAGCTAAAACTGCTAGCTCCTGCTGCTGGAAATCGTTCCAGTTTGGGAAAAGTAAGGGAGGGTCCTGTTGTCATAAAGACAGTTGACTACAAAGCTTAGTCCATCAGATCTCAATAATTCAGTATTTTAAGCTATTTTTGATATTAAAAAGTAATGTTTATAAAACTGCTTGAGTTGTAACTAGAATTTAAAGAGCATAGCTATTTCTTCAGCATTGGACAAGCACTGCTTTCATCTTGAAGCTTTTAGGGCCTTACGCAAAGGCGACTGAACCCAGTGAGAGTATGACTGCAATGGGCTTTAGACCATGGACTTGACTATGGATACATCTACACAGAGATAACCTGTGGGTGGTCTGGGTCAGCTGACTCCATCTCACAGGGTTCCGGGGCTGAAAAATTGCTCTGTAGACATTCAAGCTTGGACCCTGCATAGGTGCAGGGTCCCAGAGCTCAGGCTTCAGCCTGAGCCTAAACCTCTACACAGCAACTTTTAACCTTGCACACTTAGCTCCATGAGCTTCATTCAGTTGACTCAGGCCAGTCATGGCTATGCTGCAGGTCTTCTATCCCTATGTAGGTGGGGAGACAGATTTTCAGAAGAGATCAGCATTGTTTTCAGTGGGTGCTGCTGCACGCAGAGCATTTTTCCATAGCTGGGTGCTTCCCTTAGGTGCATAAATGGGAGCTGAGCTCTTTAAATATCTCACCCCAATTGTCATTTCCTCACACTTTGGATTTGTGCAGTGGCACCGCAAGAGTAGAGGCTGTCTTCTTTCATCCCAGTAGATTCATGAATAGCATCGTCCTCACACCATCCTTCAAGATCAGTAAGGCATTCTTAAAATAACATATTCTTGGAAAATAAAGTTTAGCAGTCACTTTTGATTATTTAGATCAATAGACATCTAGGATTTAATATTCAGGCACTCTTGCATCTACAGCTGCATGTAAACTGGATAATTGCTTACCTCAACAGGAATTCTGCTTCTCACTGCTCATTATATGCAAAATCCTAGAAATAGCATGTTGAAAATAAACATAAAATTTCATATACATTATGTATATGAGGGCATGTCAACACTGCAATGTAAGCCCAACATTTGAACTTAGGCTGAAGACTCCCCCACTCCAACAATACACAGATTTTGCTAACCCAGGGCTTGGTTCCAGGACCCTATGGGGGTTCAAGCCCTATTGCTTTGCAGTGTAGACACAGCACTACTGGACTTACGCTCTGAGAGTCTGCCAAAAGTAGTCCACAATCTCACAGCCTGACTTTCTTTGTCCTCTGGACAGTCAAGTTTGGTGGACAGTCAATTTTCCCCACACTGCACCATGAAGAAAGGGCTAGAGCAGCCACATTTTGGGAGGGCACTAGGAAGTCTAGGCTATGGCTGACTGAAATCGGGCCCACATAATGCAGTGTAGACACTAGAGCCCCAGGTTAGGATCCAGGGTTGAACAATTCCTACCTGAGGTTATAAACTACCTCAAGCCCTAAGTTAACAGACGGGGGGTCTGCTAACATGAGTTTTACTAACCCTGACTAGACATATCCCAAGTGTCAGAAATTTAGGCCACTGATATAAAAATTAGATCTAGCAAATAAAACTTGCTTTCTCAGCCCTTTCCTGGGATGGATAAGAACATTGGTTTCCAATACAAGGCTTTTGATAGCAAACAAAAATTTTATAGAATCTAGAGCTGGAGAAGAATACATTTGAATAAATAATTGAAATATTTGATTTTTTTTAAAGTTCAGTTTTATTCATACATATAATTCCTTATTCGTGAATATTTAGATAGCCAACAAATAATAAAATGTTCATGTATCCCAATATTTTCATAATTTTAGCCTAATTTGATTGTTGTGGTACACAAATCCTTTTAAAATATTTGACAGTGTGAATTACATATCATAACTCAGCAGGCAATCACTTTAGATGCATGCATTTGACTCTACAGGCTCTAGCGACTGGTGGAGTCTTATTAATCACACACACTTCTAATTAGAATTTTTTTTGTGGGGCTGGCAAAAAGTGTACAAATATCATAGCTACACTTAGTATAAATCAATAATTTATATTACTAAAAATCAACTAGGCTAAGATGAAGAGGGAAAAGGGGTAACTAGAAGTCAAAGGAGCCAGACTGCAAGCAACAACTGAAGTTCCTACACACTCAGCACAAGAGAAAAAGGAACTGAAATTGTTGGATGGGCTACACCTTCTTTGTTTAACAGGGAGTTTATTCTTATTTTAAATGGAAACTGGAACACAACTTTAAGTAAAGGGCCACAACCGTCACCTCCATAATTATCTCACGCACTCAGGGCTAACTGCCACTTTAGGCAACATTTAAGTGCCACTTACTTCTGTGAAACACCCTGTTCAGCTGTCACCTAACACTGTAAGTGCCTAAATTGCCTACATACCTATGTTTCTGCCTGTAAAGCTACCATAGCACCTACGTTTCTGCTGGTGGGTATGTGTAAAATGGCTAGTCCTGATAGGCTAGTCCTAGTTGAGCTGCTCAGTGCCCTAGTGCAATTCTCAAAACAGACATTTTCTTGCATATCTTGCCTATAGGACCCAATCTGGTAGGTATGCTCTGAGTACACCTAACCCACATAAAAAACAGACAAACAGATTAGGAATTTTTATGGCTGGCAGGCTCTGTGTGAGTGTGTCCAATAGCCCTGTGGGCAGGGCATCCATCTGGGATGTGGGAAACCTTTTCTCAAATTCCGATTCTGCCTGTGTTTGAAACTTAGGAATTCTGGATTTAGAATAGGGACTTGAACCCCAGTCTCTCACCTCCCAATTGAGTGCCCTAATCCCCAAGCTATGGGGTATTCTGAGGTGGGTAGGACTCAATCTCTCCTGCTGAAGCTGTTCCACTTTGTATAATAATTAAATATTAATTAGGCCAGACAGAAATAGATTCTATAGTCTTGTGATCAGAGCCCTCCCCTGTGATATGGGAGACCAATGGTCAGGCCCTACTTCAAATCAGGCTGAGCAGGGAGTTGAAACAGATCTCCCATATTCCAAGTGAGTACCATAACCATTAATCTATTGGTTATAATGGGGTACAGTCTCTCTTTCTCATTCCTCCTCTCTCTCTCTCTGGTTTTTCATGAAACAAGGCTGACCTGGCCTAGGCATCTAACTCCAGGAAGGGTCACAGCTGAGAATGCTTAGTGGGGAGAGGTGCCTCTCTCTGCCTTGCAGTTAGGCATCCAACCATCTTTAAAGGGGTTGAGGGGGGGATATAGGAAATGTTAAGGCGAGGGGTGGGACCTACTGGTTAGCTTACATGGTTCCCCTCCCAGCTTGCTGGTTTCTGTGAATCCCTTTCTTAGGCACTTATCTGTCCCCATGCATTGTGTAGGGTGCATGGGCACCTAACTCATGGCTGAGGAGTCCATGGGGCACCAGGGCATATAAAAATTAAGCGTTCTTCGAGTGCTTGCTCATATCGATTCCAATTAGGTGTGTGCGCGCTGCGTGCACGATCGTCGGAGAATTTTCTACCCTAGCAACACCCGGTGGGTCGGCTGTGGAGCCCCCTGGAGTGGCGCCTTCATGGCGCTGGATATATACACCAGCCGACCCAGCGCCTCCTCAGTTCCTTCTTACCGCCCGTGACGGTCGTTGGAACTGTGGAGCGCAGCATAGCTGTTCTCCACTCTCCCTAGCTTTACTTTTTCATTCTTGTAGATAGTTGTTGGTTATATACTTAAAGATTAGTAGTTTGTTGTTAATAGTTTTGTAGAGTAGTTATAAATAGTTAGCGGAGGTTAAGGGGGCTTTTATCACCCCTTTTCCCCCCGGCGCACAGCCGGGCTCATGCCCAAGGCTCCTGGCTTTAAGCCGTGCGCGACCTGTGCTAAGCCTATGCCAACGGGAGACCCTCATGACTCTTGTTTGAAGTGTCTAGGGGAGTCTCACCAGACGGACAAGTGTAAGATCTGCAAGGCTTTCAGGACCAGGACCAAAAAGGAGCGGGACTTTAGACTTAAGCAGTTCCTTATGGAGGCGGCACTTAGCCCAGATCTTCCTTCGGCGCACCAAGTTCTGGCACCGAGCGCCTTGGTGCGGAGCGCCCC